AATTTCAGGTTTCTATTAGAGGACATAACTCTTTTCTTCTTTGGGAGACTGCTTCACCCTAACATAAAACATTGTTTATATATTTATTTATTATAGAAGTTTTTTTGTATATATGTTTCAGTACTTTTCCAAATGAGTGAAACAACTTGGCTTGGGGATTTCTCTAGCTCTTTCTCAGTCTGCACAAACAATTTGCTTTCCAATCTCTTTCTATCTTTTTATGAACTCTGTGATTTTACTTTAACAGTATTTTTATTTTAGAGTTTCAGTTATATATGTTATAAAGTCCAGTAAATTCTGATTTCAGCTTTAAAAAATACTAACAAACACCTTTTTGGGGTTTGCTTCAAATCTCACATCGAAGGGGAAAAGGCTAAGATGTAAAATGGGGAAAGAAAAGGGTTTGTAGGAGAAAGGGAGAGAGACAAACTTGAGCAGTTTAGGGATGGGGATGATAATGGTGTGCTGTGGCTTGAGGTGTGGTTGTATATTCACGTCATGTTATTCAAATATAAACCTTGGAAGTCATTAAGAGGACCTGAATGGTGTATCCTGTCAAGAATTTAGTCACCTTTGTCCTCTTCATTGTCCCTGACTGGGAGGGCCCCACGCTGAGTACATCTGAACAAACCATTAGGGAGGATGTGGAGAATCCAGAAGCAAAATGATGATAGAATCCCAAATTCTGCTGCTGCATTGGAGCCCTCCGATGGAATACGTGCTGCAGAGCTGGCTTCTCCTGTTTCAGCTGTCTAACAAACCACACCAAAATATTGGACATGATTGTTTTTCTGAGGTCCTGTGAAGTGGTGTACAAAAAAAGAAGTTAAGACATTTCCTCATACTCTTTTTTTCAATACCTAGTATGAGTTTATTCTAAATTCCATTAATTCATTAACAGCATAATCTGGCAGAGGAGTACTTCTGTGATTGAAGGTAGGGTTTCTAGACTGCCAGCATGTAATATAATTTGAGTTACATTTTTAGAATTTTCTCTGCCTGAACACAGATAAACATCAAAACCACAGGATCAGATTGAGCTTGATTCTCTGTTAACCACATATTTTTGCTGGTTACTTGAGTGTTCAAATAATTTGAATGGGTATGAGTAATTGTCCAGCAGAAGTGGGATGGGACTGCTGTGATTTGAGTAACTGAGATAAACAGAAGATGGCCAGCATTCTCTGTTACCAATCCATGGACACTGTAATCTAAATCTCTTATCTTTCCTTGTGCTTCTTCTTCAGAGAAACTCACAAAAGTGGGGTTGCTGAGAGAGTCACAGCCTGCAGAGTGTGGACTGACTCATTCCCTATCATATTTCCTTTTTGTGCTGCTCTTCAGCTTCATATTATCTGAATGCTCATAAGCACCAGGTCTCCCATTTCAGAGACAGTATCAGTACAGGGCTTCAGGAAACCCCCTGTCCTGTCCTGCTTTATCTTTGGATCCCTCCACTTCCTGGAGGTACCTTCCATGGTGTAATGCCATAAAATTAAGGGAGAGAAGCTGAGGAAAATAAATAGAAAAGGAAGCAATGCATACAAAATTAGAACAAAGCACTGTGTGCATATTTCTACTGCATCTAAGCAGTGAAGAAACAATACAGCGAAAGGTTCTGGCTGGTAGGAGCAGCATGTGAGGTGGAATAGAAAAGGTGTACAGAGATATACTTTATAAACACTGCCAGTGGAATTACTGAAAGCTTTTCTAGAAGAAAGGCATGAATTTGTGCTTATAAATGCCTTGCTGATCTGTTAGTTTCCATCAGTGTAAGGAATCAGCTCTTACATTTCCTGAGTTATTAGGGACCCTGGCATACATCACTAGCCATGCTTCTATGCCTGGTGTTACCATAGCACTTAAAGTGGGTATTGTGCCTTTTTCTGTGTAGAGCTGAGCAGCAATGCAGCACAAGCCAGTCCATAACTGGAAAATTTAGTTCTGGACTATTATTATAATTTCTGACTGGCTAACACAATAGAACATAGGACTTCCCTGAAATCTTGTTTGAACAGCTCCACTCTTGCAAAACTCCCTCTGCAGGATCTTTGTAATTATCAATCAGTGGAACAATAAGAGATGGAGGGGAAGGAAGAGCAGGAACAATAAAATGGGCACATCTCCCTAAATATGAGGAGGTTTCAGCCCAAGACCTGTGTTTTCTGTCGCCATCTAAGCAATGTTCTAGTTTTTATTAAATACTCAACAAAAGAAGGAAACAGGTAGTAGTTAAAGTAGCTCAAAGTAGTTAAACAATTTCCTTACCTTAATAGCTCTTTTCAAGTCTTGAATACATGCTTAAAAAAACCAAAATATTCTAGGAATTTCTGAAGTAAAGATCCATTCATATCTCCTAAGGTAATAAGGCTCACACAAATTTATATGCTTCTATTGTGAAAAACACACAGGATAAATATCAGATCACCTACTTTGCGGCCAGTGAGAAACTTGAAGAACAATTAGGAATTTTGGGATTAATTAGGAGAATCCCAGTATCAACTATCCAGCATGATATATCCCTGATTGTGGTCAGGTTCAAATTTACATTTTATGCCATAAAGTCTTTCAAATAATCTTGATCAGAGCAGCCATGGATATTTCCACCTGACTCTCATCCTCAATCAGACTTTAAAAGCCAAGTTTAACTCTCTAAAGAGAGGGGAGAACATCCTTATTCTGGCTTTGCCAGTTGTCAAGTACAAGATATTAAGCAAAAATATGTACATTCTTGAGTGCCTATCCACTGCAGAGAAGTGAAGCACTAGCCTACAGAGCCATCTTACCTTATGATCTCCTTCTTAGCATTTTCTGTTGTTGGTCTAAGCTAAACTTCACACTCGACACCTCTTTGGAGAGTTCAGACACTCTCTGGGGGTGACAGGTTCCTACCACTGATTGCACCAGGAACCTTGCTGCCCAGCTTGAGCACTCTGACTCACCTCACAGGTCCAGAGCAGCCCTACTACATGCTGGGGTGGCTGATCCAGATGGTCAGAGTAATTTTGAATTTGGGGAAATCAGCAGTTGCGTACCGAGGTGACATGGAACTCCTCAGTTAATCTGGACTAATTTGGGTTTGTTCTGTTTCTTTTTTCATTCTGAAAGGTGTGAGTTCTGAACAAATGTTTATTATTTTGACTGCCAGATAAAGAAGTAAGAAGAATTTATCCCAGAGATGGATTTCATTCCTGATTACAAATTAGATATAACATCTGACATAAAATTGTCCTTGTAAAAGTGACATATAGATAAATGGTTAAACTACACAATTAATCTGGTAATGAGAAATTAAATGTGTTATCTTGCATGAAGAATAGGGGGAAAACCCCAACCATCCTACACATAAAGAATCTCTTGTAAACCCAAAGATGAATGGATGAATGTAGCTGTCAACAGAGGGACATTCCCTGTCTCCCATTTCCCTTGATCACCATTTCAGTTTGTGTTCATAGATCAACCACTGTACTATTTTAGCAAAAGAACTGATTTTATCAATAAAATTACTACATCTTTTCACTTCTATTACAACATGTCAGAAATTATCACTGGCTTTGGCCATTGTACAACGTTTTCTCAATTTTCCAAACTTTTTTTTTGAGTACTCATGAATTTCACATAGACCTTATGCCCAGCAGGTCTTGGAGTCTGTCAGGACATCTCAGGCGTGGCTGCCACCACCCACTGCAGGCAGCCTATAGTAACCTCTGCAGGCAACGAGTCAGACGCATTCATGCACTGAAGTCTGGAAAAGCTCCTAATTTCAAGATCTTTTCACAGTGTTTTCCTAAAATGGGAAGTTGACCTTTGTCTCTTGGAGTCCTTCTGGGCATTGCTGACATTGTCAGTTGTCCAACAACTTTGAGAAAATCAGTTCATCCACAGCTTCTGCACCAGCTCCTTGCGTGGGGGAAGGACGCTATCAGAAGTCTCCCTGGAGAGCTGCTGAATTTAGAACAGTGAAAAAAACCAGGAGGGTCCTGAAGAAAAGGATTTTCTTCTGCTGAGAAACATGCTCAGAAGAACTTTTGTGACAATATAAGTGAGACAAAGAAGTTTTAGTATCTTGCTAAAGGTTTTTGGCAGCAAAAGAGGAGACATCTGCGCTGCACACTTCAAATGTGTGAAAAGAAACTGAACTGTGGAAGTGTCTATTATTCTTTATTGCCTATAAAAATGACTGAAGGTGACTTGTCTAGATGTAGGCTTGTACACTGTAAGGCATCTGCAGACAGTTGCAACTCATGTGAAAATATATATTTTAAGACTGTAACAGCAGTGACAGAAAAAAAATATTAACCAGTCATGATTTTAATTAGATATAAAGAGTATACATAATATAAAAATGAACAATAAATTGTTACATATATACAAAATCTGCAAAACCTCTCAGTTTATCAGTAAGTTACACACTTGACATGGAAATTGGTATTAGTCCCTGGATTACTGTATAAGCACATAACAGCATGTTTTGGATAAAGGGGTAGGGTGAAAGACAAGAAAGAAAGGAAGGATGAATTAAAGAAGGAAAGAGAAGGAGAGAGAGAGAGAATTTACAGTCTGTTATTGAGTAATTTATGTCAATCTCATATATGTGTGTATTTGCTATGTAAGGGGTGTGAATTCTATTAAATGTTCACCAAGAACTAAAACAATAATTGGTTTTTTATTGTTTGTCAACAAGTACACATGTAGTAGAGAATTCTGAGATTTGTTTGACAGGATACTGTAATATTTTCTTTCAAAATCATGTGATTAGAAACACTTATAACACGTTTTTCATTATTGAAGTGAATGAGTAAACACATATAGAATTCAAATTTATATACAACTTTTCAGCTTGAGGCCATTTTTTCTTGTTCTGACACTTTTTATGTGGGAGAAGAGACTGAACTCCTTTTTACAGCTTCCTTTCATGCAGTTGTAGAGAGTGATAATGTCCCCCCGCCCCCCCAAGCCTCCTTTTCTCCAGAATAACCACCCCCAGATCCATCCGCTGCTCCTCAGTAGACTTTTTGCCCCAGACCCTTCTCCAGCTCCCTTGCCCTTCTTTGGTGAGGCAATGTCACAATTTACCCTTACTGTGTAGGAGCTTATTTCCCAAGATAATGATACAGGGAGGATGCTGATCAGAGACTTGAGCAAAAAATGCTGGTTCTGGATACAGACTACAGTCAGGCCAATAGTTTCAGCAGATTAGCAGGGAGCACATCATTGCCTGTTCCCTTCTGAACACAGGACTTTCCAGTTGTAAACCTTAAGATTCTCCACATGACAGAGAAGAATAACAAACTGGTGGGAAAAACAGAAAAATAGGAAAATAGGTCACTCTACTTTTCACTTGGTAGTACTTAGAGTTTCAGCAGGAGTGGAAGAGAGCTGCCAGATGTCCACAGAACATGGAAGGAACACTTTGCTGAATAGGTTTTGTGTTCCTGACTCATGTGAGTATTGTCTTCCACACACATGTATTGGGATAGATGGTACTGTAAAATAAGGAGGATGCTGCAGCCATCTGAACAGAAGTGTCATGTCAGCTCCAGAATGTGTGACTCACACCTATAGGAACTGAGAACAATTATCACAGTCCAGCTCAAGTCTATTAATAAACTGCCACTCTTCAAACAAAACAGGTTGCAAGCAATCTGCCTTTAGCTGTGCCAGTTTTGTCTGGCCAAGTGTTGGAACTGTTCAGGGAATGCCATGAACACCAAATTCTTTATTGGGGCTGTCCTAAGACATACAAGCACAGAGAATTCAGTTCCAGGAAAATTGCCAGGCATACTTGCATTTACTAATATAGCTGATGCCTATAAATTCAACATATAACTGAGGGCAGGGGGCAAATACTGAGTAAGAAGACGTTTCTTTCTGTCACATGCCACCAGATAATCCATGAGAGCAGGTCACGTGGAAAAGCAGCATGCACTGCTGAACCTTACATGTCTGTAAGGAATGGTTTAACTGCAAATTGGGAGTCTGAACAGAGTAAGGGATTGAATTCATACATATGAGAAGTTTGATCACAAACACAGGAGTCCAGCCCTGCGGCATCTGTGTTTCAGAGAGATTTAAAAACTGAGCAGGTACAAATGAAATATAAGACCCAAGCAGGGCAGCACACTGAAGCACGAGTCCTGCTAAGCCAGCAGGACCGTGGCAGGTATGTGAGCTGGAATCACACAGGGAACTGCCTGGCATCCCACCAGCAACTCAACCCAGAGGTGAATTTTCATCAGGGTGACTCTGGAGCAGCAGAGGGCACGCAGATAAATAGCCTGACAGAGTTGTGTGAGATATCAGTAACACAGCTTGCCAGCTGCACAGCACGTTAAAATAAGAGACAGGCACTGCACTGACTTCTGAGAAATGTCACCCTGCATCCCATGAAAGTGCTACCACAACAGATTTAGTAATAAATACAAAAACATAACATCCATTGCCAGAACAAACAAAACATTTCAGACATTGAACACTACAACATGGGGTAACTCAAGTTATCCTAGAGTGTCTTAAATACCTGCAGCCTTACCTTGCAGAATCTCTAATGAGAAAATTACTCAAACAAGCATATATGAAAACAGACATTGCACAAGGAACTGGCAGATTCTGCTCCGCACTTCAGTTACAGGAAGACTCTGATTAAGCCAACTTTGAGACATGAAAGATGCTAAAAGGGGAAGAAATTAAAGAGATATTTTCACAAAACATCTGTAGTTGCCAAGAAAACAAGATCTCAAAAGACTAGAAAGTAAGTCTGTTTAATTTGTGACTTTGAGAATAAAGCAGGAAGAATATTTAATTCTGGAAAAGATTGTCTGATTTTGAGAAGCAAAAAACTTAATCCCTGAAGGCATAGACTAATATGCTGTCTGAAGGTATGGTGGAATTCCCCATCTCAACATGTCATTTTATAATCACCCAATTACATTTCTTTTTACCCTTTGTTGAAGGCATAGACCCACTCCTGTCAGTGACTTCTTAATGAACAACACTTAGACACTACTGGCATTCAAGAAATGTCTGTCTAGTCTTGTAGGTTCTTCCCTTTCCTTTGTACCTAAGTCCTGACCTCAATCCTTACGAGAGCTGAGGTTTCAGAGGTTTGCATTTTCCCCATTAACTTACTGAATGTGGGAGGGGTTCTTAACATACGTGCTTAGGATCTCCCTTCCCAAATACCCAGGGAGCCTGATCTGTGCTCAATCCATTCAGGAGAGTAATAAAAACATTTTGTTTTTGTTTTTCCTTCCCTATCTAAGAATGGAACATTTTGGGGTGGAGGTCAGCCTAGCTCAGGAAGAAATGCTCAGCTGTTTAAAATTTCTGTAAGGGGAGTGGGAGCTGAAAAGAATGAGATAATTTCCCTTTTCTCTGGAATTCTTCCCAGGACAATGCATACTTTTCTAGGGAAAGTGTCAGCTAGAGTTGTATTAATTAGAACACTGCTTCATAATTAGAATCGGTTTTAAGCCTTAAAATTCCCAAAGAGTTATAATTCCCAATATTACCTCCATATGCTGCATGGTTTGGGATGAGGTTTGTCGTGCCACCATCTCACAGTATTGCAGGATACCATCAAGACAGAAAGCACTTTAGGTCTTTAGTTAAAGACCTTTAAAAAGTTAGGGAGATCTGACCAATAGGAGAAAGACAATATATAACACTATATCAGAGGCTAAAATGGTTAAAGCCACAAAGATAAAAAGAGACAACTTTGCTTCTCTGAAGAAATAACTTTACTTTATTTTACTGAGCAAGATAGAATAGTTTTCCCAGAATTATTTCTATATTATGGAATCCTAGGAAACCTCTCTGTTCTGCCTTACCACTTTTAGGTGTCAGGCTCTATCCTTTTAAATATTTAACATAGTGTTACAATGAAATGAATCTTTAAAAAATGTAACAATTTTAAAATATTTGTTTAAAAAATCCTCTCTAAATACCTATAAAAATAAGGATCTTATTTAGTTATTATGTCCTGGAGTGTGATTGAAAGAACAAATATCACGCAGCAGATGTCAGCCAGCTTCCATAAGTATGTAATATAAGAATCCATGCAGAAAAAAACTAGATCTCTTCAGATGGAGTGCATTAGTTCAGCAACAGAACAAGCTCTTCTACATTAATTTCTATAGGTATTTTTGCAATATGGCAACAGCTCTTATGGAAACTTTGTGGACATCCTCCTTGCAGAATAGTTCAATTCAGCTGACATCCTGGAAGTCACTCTAAACTCACTTACATCCTTGTCAGCATTCAGAAATCAGATTTTATCTAGCCACTACGCAGCTGTGTCAGTGCAGAGCTGCATGCATTCAGATGAGGGCACCACAATCACAAGTTTTCTTAGCTGGAAAAAGTCTGCCAAATAAAAGAGAAGGGATGCTAATCTGCTGGGAAAAAATGTCTTTATTTTTCCCATCATTTGTGTTATATGTTTGTTTGACACTGAGAGAAAAGATTAAAATATTTGTTATTTAAACGTTTCTACAAGTCGAATCAGAATTGTGTTTGCTTTTACTCTTCATTTATTTCTGGCTGTCAAGGAACAATGGGACTTGATGAGTCAATATATAGCTCTAGTGGGAATTGGAATTGTTCAGAGTGAGATGTTGACAAAATATTTCCCCATTGTTTTAAGCTCTTTTTTTTTTTTTTAATGTACTGTGTTGACTGTTCACCTTGTACTAGAAACTTAATCCTTTCTTCAGAGACAACTGGCATCACGCATTTTCCCATTAAGATTCCTTTTTACTTTTTTTTCCCTTTTTCTCCCCTTGCAAAAAATACCAGGTGCACCTCTTACAGGAGTCAGCAGGAGAGCGTCTTGGACAATCCAGTGGGAAATACATGAGTTCAAAGACCTCAAACCATTTTATAATGCACTTACTCCTGACTGTTCTTTTCCATTTTCTTGTGTGAATCAGCAGTAAGCCACAGAAAAATTAAACTTACCATAGCAGAGACATCATTTGTTAATCTTTGTAGAAAGACCAGAGCCTGAAATATTTGCTGCTCTTATGTGAGAAGTCAGGGGATATTGCCAAGCTCAGTGCAGCTCTGTCAAACACATCCCAGGCATCCTCTAAGCACAGACTGGAATAGGAATGTTGGTTCAAGAGACACTAAAGGGTTTGGGCTTTTATAGCTTTGCACTGGATGTTGCTTTCCCCCCCCCCCCCCCCGCCACTGGTCAGCCAAATATATATATCAAGCTTCAGATTGTTGGAATGGCCAGTTCTTAATCTGAACACAGCAGCTCAACCACACGTCTGCTGTCAAAAATTGGCATAGGTTTCCTGACGCCACAGACAAGGTTTCAGCTGAGTACTGGCAAATGTTTTAGAACTCAGTGGGTCTTACCTGACCAATACTCAGCCAGTGAGTCCCCCCTGGTGCTCAATAACCTTTTATCTCACAATGTCACATTCCACTGAATCAGCCTGAGCTGCAATTACAGAAGGAAGGATAACGAGTGTACTGAAGCCAGAACAGCTCACCTATGCCATAGTGGGATTAAGATTTTCACAAAAAGGGAAAAGTGTTGCTGGTTATGTCAATACTTGAGGAAAAAATGTTTGACAGGATTGAAAATTAAGGAACTCTTTATTGTTTTTAAAGTATTTTCTTTGATCTGTAATATTGTTTCTATCCTTCCTTTTTTCATCTCTGTAAGCAGTCAAAATTAATGACCACGTCATTCTTTTTATCTTTCTTAAAAACTAAATGACTTTGCAAATATTACAGTATAATCACCATACTAATATAGAGCTAAGGGACAAGATTTCCTTTTTCCTTCTGATATTTGGTAAAGTTTCCTAGAGAGAAGATGACAAACTGGGGGGTGAGGGGCTGAAATGACACAAAAATCTTAGATTTCACTTAGATTTTCACATTTACATTCTGTTTAGAAAAGGGAAACAGAAAGTTTAAGAAGAGACAGAGCAAATAAAAAGAAAATAATTGAAGCTTTATATTTTTGTTAATATTGTTGATATTTAAAAAAAAAATAAAGAAGCAAAACTAAGGCCTTAGTGGCTTATAGACAAGCTTTATAAATTAAAGGTAAGGTAAAACTAATTAAAATTTCTCTAGCAAAACTATGGAACTATTTTTGTTGGGAGGGACCTTTTGTGGTCTCTAGTCCAACCCTCAGCACAAAGTAGAAATAGGTTCAAAATTAAAGTTTCCCAGGGCTTTTCATTGCTGAGTTATGAAGCTTCTTCAGGGTCCATCTTACATTCTTGTGCAAAACTCCCAGGAGGACCAAGATCCAGCTGGCTCTCGGCTTGCAGCAGTCAGGCAGTGCCAGTGCCCTGCCCTGTGCAGGGGACAGTCCAGCCTGGACAGGTCACACAGCAGCAGAGCCCTGTGTGGGACATTGTCACAGCCCCTGTGGGACATTGTCACAGCCCTGTGTGGGGACATTGTCACAACCCTGTGTGGGGACATTGTCACAGCCCTCTGTGGGACATTGTCACAGCCCCGTGTGGGACATTGTCACAGCCCCGTGTGGGGACATTGTCACAACCCTGTGTGGGGACATTGTCACAGCCCTGTGTGGGACATTGTCACAGCCCTGTGTGGGGACATTGTCACAGCCCTGTGTGGGACATTGCACAGCCCCATGTGGGACATTGTCACAGCCCTATGTGGGGACATTGTCACAGCCCCGTGTAGAACATTATCACAACCCTGTGTGGGAATTGTCACAGCCCTGTGTGGAACATTGTCACAGCCCCATGTGGGGACATTGTCACAGCCCTGTGTGGGGACACTGCCTCAGCTTCACAAACACTTTGACCCCGTGACTGTGGCCCAGTGCCAGAGATAAAGCTCCCAACAGTTCTCAAAAGCTAAAATATGTAATTGAGCAGCATCTTTGCACATCAGCGATGGCCAAAGTCTGGATGGGTTTGTCAATATTTCAGTGGGTCTTTTTCCCACTGAAATGTTGCCAGTGGGTAACTCGGAGGCACACTGCAAGGAATTCATTAGCCAGACAAAAGAGATGAATGGTTTCCTCTGATTGTAAAAGGCATTGTACTGAAGATTTTTCAAGCTTCCTTTATTTAGAAGTATACTAAAGGATTTGTATAAAAAGTTTCTAAATTTAGATAAATCTATTCTTTCTAAAACTTCCTCCTTTTTTATCCATCTCATTCCGATAAATTTTATCAGAGAAAAGGCAAACTTTCATTTTAGTGAAAAAGTGGAAAAGGTTACCAAATTCCAGTCTGAACAAATTGTAAATGCAAAGACCTAGAGAGAAAGTAGACAAAACTTTAAAGGTATGGATTTTCTAAGCTATTCCTCTTTCTTTGACTGGGACATGTTTAGTACTTTCAGAAGAAACTGAAAATTAAAATGAAAGCCTAAGAACTTGAGAATCCTGTTACCAGGATGATCTATATTATTTGCCAGGAAAAAAATCCCACATCAGTACAACTTTAATCCACATCAGTGCAACTGGAATCCTAAATGCTTCATCCATGAATTCTGAAGAGATCACTTGAAGCAGCCTCTCAGACAGTCTGAGAGCTTGTACAGCTGCAGAATGCTTTAGTGAACACTCTATATTATCAGCACCACCTAGAGTGAATCACCAGAAATAGCTCCAGCCCCAAAACTAATATTCTTTACAAAGCATAACTTCATTTCAAAGGAGCATTTTCCAGACTTACCTTCAAACCCTTCCATTCAAATAAAGATGGTTGAAACAATAGAAGAGAAGCAATGTGAGACCATAATTTTATTATTGCACCTAGAAGATGTCAAGAAAAGACATCAAAAAGCATTTTAGAATCAACTGAACTCTGTCTATTAGTTCTGGCTTAATCATCAGCAGAAATTTTGTCAATCAAAGTGTTGTTCATGATGAGGAGGAAGAGGAGGAGGATGTTTAAAGCAAAACAGAATCCTGTTTACTCACTAAAAAAATAGAAACAGATTGTTGTGGGGTCTTTTATCAATAAACATTAAGAGTTTGAAGGTAAAACTGAGTAAATAAAATAGATAATATAGACACTGCATGTTTATGAAATAGTTGGTTTTGTCTTTATTTATGCACATTCTCTTTACAATCTGCTTGATTTAGACACCTACTTTGTAAAAGGCAATTCCTGTACAGAGTCATAATACCAGAGAATGTTAGGAAACTTCTATTATGGGATGCATATTAATTTTCCATTATTTTCCATCTAGGAAAAAAAAATTATGTAAATAAAGATTCATTTACACCCATCCAGTAAACTGAATGGTTTACCCTTATCCTCTTCCAGTTTGATACCACAAAAATGAAATGCAAAATTAATAGAGTTATACTAGTAAATGTGTAGAACTACTCAGTAGTGAATTAGGCCTGTAATTTGGAGATTATTTTTATCTCCATGATTTGTGATAACAGTTAATGTTTAGTTCTGTTAGCTTTCAGAAATGTTTACTTTTCAACCCCCCTGAAATCCACAGGAACACTGTACATGCCTACAGTTCTGATAAACAGACACCTGGCACTGATATCACACTTCCAAAGTTACTTATTTTCATTTTTTAAACAAATCAGTTACTACTATGACTGTGTAAAAACCTAATGGTGGCCTGTTTTTAACAATAAACAAAGTAGTAATATAAGCTTAACAAAATAGGGGATTTTCTTGCATTGCATACATGCAAAAATTCAGCCATCAACAAGAACTGATAGTTCATTTCGGGCAACTCAGTGCAAGGAGACTGAAAACTGCATGACTTTGTGTGCTGCTGACTGAAGAATATACTGGCAAAAATACAAAAGAAGAAGAATATACTGACAAAATACACAAGAATAACAATATACTGACAAACCACAACTTTGTGCCTTTACTGCAGCTTGTGGTCTGCGCATTAAGCCTGAGAAGTCAGTCAGTGCTGGAGGGGATAAGCACTGCAGAGCACCTGTCTTTTTTTCAGAACACAGCTCTCTCCAGCACCAATAGCTCAGAATTCAGAGTGCACTGGTGATGTTTATTCTACTCACTCTCATCTTCCCCACCCAGCAGCAGTTGCCTTCCTGTTGCCTCTGGGGTCCACACACCTCTGCTGTGGGGAAGTTTCTTTTCTCTAGGAAGGGATGAGTTTGCCTCTGTCTCTCTCTTCCTCACCTATCTTCTGACCTAAAAATACTTCTAACATAAATCAAAACAACCTGCAGGCTTATTTTGCCCTTAAACATTATTTTCATGCTGAACCTCATATATTTACATACTCTGAAGTTAGAACATTGTTACTAGTGTTAGTGAATAATTGGAGAATTGTAATATCATTTCACATTTATGCTTTTTATATAACCAAAATACTTTATAAAGTGAATAAGTATAATTCTAGAATGAATTATAGTCTTTCCCTCTGGTGAAATTTATTTAACTTAAATCCTTAATCTGAAGAGAAAGGGCAAAGAAAATGTATTTTTTGTCTTTTAGTTCTGACAATAATTCTACACTTTTTCACTGCCACACTATTACAGTAGATATATTTTCTCAATATACTGCTGACACCACATGCCAAGTAATATTTCCATCATATCACATAAAACATTTCTATAATACTACTGCACTGTGAAGAAACTAAGATGAAAGTATTATATCTGTGAGGAGAATCTGACCCGTGTCCTTTCTTACATAAGAAAAGGTGTAGTGCTTTCAGCCAAAACTGATGACTGCTAATAAAATAATTTTTATTAGCAATTATTAACATTTTTTTTTTTAGCATTAACAATTGCAAAGACTCTGACGTTACTCAAGGAATGTCTGCACAAAATTATTACAAAGATATTACAAATTACTGTAAGGTATTCTTTGCCACTCCAAGAAAACAAATGTACTTGCCATAATATGAAAATGCAGCAAACATTCTACATGCTAGTTAATAAATCAAAAATAATAACTCAAAATAATAGATCAAAAATGTCTTTACTATGTAAATTCAAATTCTGTCATTTGAAAATATAGGATACATATATTTAGAGCTATGACCACTGAGAAAGATGAAAACCAAAAATTGTAAATGCGGGGGTTTTTGCTTCAGGGCATGCATACTGCTTCACAAGATGAAAATGTTACTCTA